TAAATGTAGAGTAAAAGTAGCACAGCAGTTGAAAGTGTAGCTGCTTCAAACCAGTTTTGATCAATGCAAGTTGTGTCTCTGCTGCTGTTATTTTCTGTTTTGTCTGGAAATACAATAAGTTTAGCTTCGTCATTGTTACTCTCCCATTTGTTCGCAGACAAGTTATTCACTGTTTGGTTTTAGGGATAATTCTTTATTCATCTGTTGCTTATGAGCAGGAATATATATTTGAACCATAAACCTCATGATAAATGTATCTGGTCTGTTTTAAATTGCTTTCTCATGAATTGATTGCATAACTCGATGAGTCACTAGCAGCTCAGTCTGTAAATCAGAAACCAGCTAATTTATGTTGGTGGTCTGTGTACTTTATGTGCTGCAGTTCATTTGAATACTTGTCAATTATGTGCAATAAACTTTTGCTTTAAAGGTTTTACATTGTTTATCTTCCTAAAATAATGTCTCAAGTAATTTTGTTTCCGAAGTGTTTCGTTTTGCTTGCATTCTTTTTTATTTTTTTTGCCCATTTCATCTAATGGCAAAAAAAAAAGAAAAAAAAAAAAAAAAAAAGAAAGAGGTGGTGATTTGTTTTTTCTTTTCCAAAATCTCTTTTGGCAAAATATGGCTTTGGCCTTTATTTTAGGAAGTCTGTCTGAATGGAATTGATGGTAATTTTCACAATTCAGGAGCGGGCAGCCGAGCTCTCACCTTTAACATCGTCCATCTCAGGTGAGGGAATCATGAGGTCATCGGGGCCGTCAGGTTCACTGTCCTCGCTGTCGCTCTCGGGATCCGGGTTCAACACCAAACCTGGCCAACGAAAACCAAACCCTCATGAGGACGAACGGCCAGGAGCCGACGGGGTGAGACGCTGAGAGCTGCTCTCCTACCCCACAGGCATTGGGACAGCTCCTCCTCTTCCTCCTCTGCGTCATCCAGACCGCCGACCTTCCAAATGTAACCTTTCCCTTCTGCTCCAACCTCTGCTGGGTTAAAAACTGCAAGGGCCGTTAAAAACGCACTTTATGCCACTGCATGTGAGCTACTTCAGAACATTATCATGAGTATCATGGGGAAATAATACACACTTTTCTGTTTAGCTTTGTCTTTACTCTGCCCAACCTCGGCATCATCACTGAGGAACTCGTCAGCGTCCTCCTCCTCTTCCTCGTCTGGGTGGTGCATGGACACGACGGTTCCTTCTGGCAGAGACATGTTCGGCCCGATCACCACCTGGAAAACGGTTCACATCGCAAATGAGTATATTTATAATTTATTGCCATTACACAGAGCTGGGAGGTAAAACCTTGATATAAAAAGACAAAAACAAACCAAAAAATAAAAACCTGCTGCTCTAGTTATTTTAACTGATCCAAAACAGATATGTGTGGAGTCGTTTAGCATCGTCGTCTCCTCAAAACATTAAACAGGGTTTTTCCCACTGCATTCATAAGCCTGGCGGGCCTCCAGGCTTTACTTGTCCCCCCACTAGGCTAAGCATCGTTTGTTTATCTATTATAGATGTTTCTTATGCACACCACTAACAGTGACAGCAAATACGGGTTTTAACCCGTGTTCCTTTGGTGACAACGTCAGCGAATACGGTGACAAATCACGGATAAAGAGCCCAAAAAGTTGGGACACTTGAAACAAAAACGTGTGTGTTCACTTACATTATATGCCAGGACACACTGCTTATTCAGGGTTACCCCCTCTTTGACCTCAGCCTTGTCGCAGACCACAGACTGTCTGATCGCCACATTACTGGCAATGTGAACATCATTCCAGATGTAGGCATGGTCCAGGGTTACATTGTCACCTGGAGCAGAAAAACAGATATTGTTTTTCCCTGCAACCTGCACAACTCTTCCTCCCCAGACACACTGCCTCAAGAGCTCACCAATGGTGCAGCTGTCGCCAATGACGCTGTTGGAGATGCAGCAGTTGGCACCTATGCTGGTGTCACAGCCTATAAGAACGTTTTCCACCATCTGGCTGCCGTGACCCAGGCTGACCCCGGATCCCCGGTAGACGTTGTGGCGAGAGTAGGTGCAGCTGCGTCCCTCGTGGTCCGTGAAGTTGGACTCCGGCGTGATGGGGTAAAACCATCGCCGCACGAAGTCCGACGACACGGAATCGTACATGAGCAAGTTGGAAACTCGGACACCGTAGCCGTCCTTGGTGACGTGCATGTGGATCTGATTGCCGAGGATCTGTAACCCGAGACAAAGAATTAGAGTCATGGTACCATGGAAAAGAAAAAGAATACATATATATATATATATGATGTGAAAATCCTGTGCAGCACCTCTTCGTTGACCAATATCCCTCGGACGAAATCGTCCCTGGTTTGGTAGTCAAAGTTATCTGTAAAAAGTTCAGCAACCTGAAAGGAAACGAGAAGGCTCACGCGTTACCTCAGCCAGTCACAGAATTAGGGTCTATTGGGATTAAAAACGGACCTGCGGAGAGCAGATGCTGATGTGGGAGTCCAGGAGGTCATGCCTGACTTCAAACTCATCACTCCCACCGTGGAATATATTCTGAGAAACAGAAACAGGGGCGTCCATCATAAGCTTGTCAAAAAAGCATCAATTCCCCTTCAGCTTTTAGATATCTTGTCCCATCATCATAACCACAAACATTAGACGGATTATCCAGTATTACAATTAAGCATAGCAAAAATCGGGACATTTTTGCAAAACCATTTTAAAGATATGCACGCCTTTCACAATTGTGTTGATCTGTGACTAAAAAATACCTTAAAGTTGTAGGATTTAATATGAGAACATATAAAAATCCACAAAGAATTTGATCATTTCTCCTCTGTGATCATTTTCTTAAATATCCAGTTACCATTGGAAAGTGCAGCCTCTTGAGCCCCTGCGTTTTCTGGTAGTGTAAAATCTGCTGGCTCTTGCTGTCCATCGCCACTACGACGTCATCTTCTTCACAGCGGGACCTGTGACCCGGCGAGGACTCCTTAAAGATCATCGTCATGACCGAGATGTTCTTGTCCATCTTTCGCCGATGCCTGAGGAGCAAAAGATCAAGAAAATGACCCAAAAGTCGTAACCTCTCATCACTCACTCCATCTCAGGTTCAACAGGGGTGCAGGTCTCGTACCTGTGCTGCTGCAGGGCCTGACTGATGTCGATGTTGGACACCACGTCTCCACAAACCAACACAAAGTCAGAGCGCACCAGGGACTTTGCATCGACATCCCGGAGCACATCGCCAAGGGAACGGTACAGCTCCGACGTGATGATGTGGATCGTGTTAGGAGAGGAGGGTCGACACCACTTTGACTTCCTGTCGGACAGAGTCGGGTTCACCTCGACATCCTGGCTTTGAACAAACGTCACACAGTGGATGCACTCACAATAAGTGGGCCTTGATTTTACTGGCCATCCAGCAGCAGAAGACGAAGGTTTCCTGCACCCCGGTGGAGGTGAGGAACTCCAGGGTGTAGTCGATCATGGCAGCGTTTCCCAGCGGTAGCAGAGCCTGACATTAGGGTCAAGGGTGAACATAGTCAAGAAGTTAGGAAACCGCCGTGACATATTAACGCGTCTTACGCTTAGGTGCCTGCGGTAAACATGCAACAACAAGCTTGCATCTCTGTGACCGAGTCGCTGCTCTCAGCATGGACGTCACTCCGTTAGCATGTGTTAGCATCGTCGGCTAGCGGTTCCTACCCGCGGCTGGTCCTTGGTCACCGGGAAAAACCTCCGGTTGAAGCTGTCAGCGACTAAAACGGCCTGCAGCGGCTGCTCCTCCTCCTCCTGCTCCCCGGCACCTTTCCTCCCAGTGAAGCCGGAGCTCGAGCGGCTCTGTTTTCCTCCTTTACTAGCCATGTTTGATTCCCCGGAGCCCCGCTGTGTCGTCAGAAACAACTACGGTGGCGGAGAAGGGACAGTCTTGTTTATGTTGAACATTGTGAAAACAATGGTCAAAACTTTTTTTCCCCACCACCGCTGACTTTAATTGGCCGTGTAAAGACATCTTAATTTTTTCATGTTAATCGAGAAATTGAATTTTTCTCCTGCATCTCACAGAACTGTCATTCAGGCTGTTGACTTGCACTGATACCTGCGACAGGTGGGTGGTCGGGCATCCTAGCTGAAACAGGGGCGGAGTGTAAAGGGGGCTCCCGATTTGGCTTTTAGGAACAAACAAACCAAAAAATAAACTCGACTACGTTTGTGCTGGTTTTTGTGCAGCAAAAATATTCGCTTGTGCTGCTTTGGTTTTGAAGGTATCAATGAAAGGTTAAAGGTCAACCAGCCCCACCCCACACACTTTTATAAAATCAGACAAAATTGGTGTCTAACGTTTGCACAAACATAGTTAATTCATTGTGTCTGATGTGAAGAAGATAGGGGGGAAGGGGTGCTGGATGATCTTTGATGACCTCTAGAAGCATTTTTTTATATTTTTAAAACGATAGCAGCACAAACACTTTTTTTGCAGCACAAACGTTTGACAGCATTTGTGTCTGATTTGAAGAAGGTGGTGGGGGGGGGCAACTTCACTCAGGTATTTATCCTGATATGGTAGGAAAATCTGACAAGGTAGCACAGATGGTCAGAACAACGGCTCATGTTAGATCCTTTTACCTGTTCACGGTGGGATGGATGATACATTTTTGCTGAACTTCTTTTTTTCTCAAAATAGCAGAGGATTTTTCTGCAAAGCTGCTGTTCGAGTTGTTTCGCAACACTGAAGCGGTTCCCTGCATTTACTGGCTGTCCCTCACAGGAGTAGCTGAGGGACGCACCACAGCTTTTACACAGATTTAAATGTTTTTTTTTCTTTTTTGTTGCGTTACGAACACAAACTTCAGCATATTTAATTTTAACAGATTTGCAGAAGAAAAGCTGTTAGCAGACATTTTTACCAAGTCTCTATCATAAAGTATTAGAAAATTTATACAAAAACTTATCTGTTACGGCAAAATCTAACAAACATGTTTTAGAAATGCACAGGAAGGATTTGGGCCTTTTTAAAACAGTTCTTTGCTTTTATTTGAAAAGAACTTTGACTGTTATCAATTACAGAAGCTGAAACATCCATCAGCAAAACAACTTAAAAGCTAAATTCATACAGCTAACACCATCAAAGGTCGTTCATTCAAGCCTCTGTAAGCTGTATCGTTTCACTGTAGATCTGCAGTGTCTTTTTCTGTTTACACTAATGATTTAAGTAGACACAGATTCATTTATTTGGGCTTCAGAAAATAACCTGCAGAAAGAATTAATTGTCATTAATAAGCTTCAATTAATGACAATTGTATTTAATCACTCTGGTTACATGTGTTTAAATCAAAGATGTAAAGAAAACCCCAAAAAAACTGAATGGAGGTCGACACAAGAGTTATTTCCAACAATAACAGTTCCTGATCAAGTTTAAAATTAATATTTAGAAAAGACTTTGGTGAAGAAAAATAAAACTCTTTTTCCGGAACATCTGAACCCAACATGTTTGACTTTCACAGAGACAAAAACATCTGGCTCGTATCACGCCTACGTTTAGACAAAAGCCTTCATTAGCAGCTCTGCAAAAGCCCAACAGTTTTCCGCGTCGCTCTCGTTCACCTCGTGCTGCGAGCCGCAGTCTTACAGGTGGTGGCTGGTGATCTTCTTGGCGTGCGCCAGCACAGAGGTGGACCGCGAGGTTCTGCCGAGCCACGAAGCCGGGATTTCTTCAAGCCCGATCTGAAAAATTCAAACCCAAAACAAAAAAATCGTCAGACAAAAGCCCGGAGAGAACGAGAGGCTGGAATGACGACTTAAGAGGCGGTCCCACCTGGGCTCCGACGCATGCTCCGATGAAGGAGGCTCTGCTGCAGGTGCATCCTCCACAGCTCATGGTGTCTCTGATGGCCGTCTCAAACTGTTTGGCTGTCAGGACTCCATGCAGCGCTGCCTGGAATGCACCTGGCAAACCTGCAGCGAGTGTTGCACTTGTTACCTGTCTGATCCGAGTGAGGTTGGGGTTCAGTGAAGTTGGCGGGAGCTGGTTAAACATACCTCAGGTGTTGGGAAACACAGTGGGGATCAGCTCCTGTGGAGGCTTTGACAAATTCTCCTTCACTTGATGAATGTGACCTGAAAGCCGCAAGAGTGGGAGGAATATGAATAGAGCTGAAACGACTAAACCCTTTGCTACAAAATGCAATGACCACATTGTTTAAAATAAAATGTTTATTCTTTTAATTCAAGAAAGGAATTGAATCAATCGTTTATTTGGATTTTTATGTGTTTTAATACCGAATAAAAAGGAATAAGTAGTTAAATAAAAATTAGCTGAATGTGCACATTTGTTTATGCAGTTAATTGATTGTCAAAATAATCGTTAGATTAAACAATTACTGGGATCATCATTACCTAAATATAAGACAACAAATGAGAGAATACTGCCAATCAATGTAAATGTTAAACTGCTCTTTTGTTGAGACAAATGCTGCACAAACCTTTCACAGAATGAAGAAGCACGGTGCCCTAAGTCCCGTGATTCGATCTCATGACTTTAAGAGAGAAAGCAACAATGCCTGCAGAGTTCACTCACCAATCACTGCTTTGTCCAAGTCCTGTGGCTGCTTTCTGCTGGGGTCACTGAGCTGATTCAGCACCACATCCAGAGCTTTTGGGTCTGGACCAGTCAGGATGAAATGCTCCAGAAACCTGAGGGGAGAATCCAGTTTGTCGTCTGAGAAGTGGTGCTTTGTGAAAGTGCTACCCTCAAGACGCAACCGTAAGCTCAAGTAATCAAACGGCGCCTGTGGGGGTACAGACCTTGCGGCCGCCAGAGTTTCGGCGACACATTCGTCGTTGTTCTGGGTGACTCGGATGGCCTGTTCAACCTTTTCCAGCATGTCCGGCTGTCCGGCGTAAAAAGCCACTATGGGAGCCATCTTGGCTATTCCGTCAATCTGACAGTCTGTCTCACAGCCTGCAACAAAAACAAGCAAATGCTTGAACTCAGCGTGCCTCTGAAGATCAAGACGTCAACCAATGAATGTCCGTTACCTGTCTCCTCTTTGCCCGCATCGACGTTCTTTAAGAAACTCTTCAAGCTTGCATGTCTCCAAGGTCCTTCAATGGGCAGCTGAGGTCTTGGGCCTGGAAATAAAATAATGTCCACATTGATAAAGTAACTTTGTCAAAAACGTTACCCTTAATTGTATTAAGTGGACAGACTTTTTACCATTCCGGTCTCGGTACGGATCATTGACCGGCGTGTCATACTCTGACCCCGGCCCAAAGAATTTCAGAGTCCGCTGCTTCAGATCCTCAACATTCAGACCTGGTATGAAACGTCAATAAAGTCACACACTGGTTACAAAAAGATGTTTGTCTCAAATACTTAATGGGCTATAACAATCATCTTCTGTATGCACAGTGTTTACTTTCATTTCAAAAGTAGAACATTAAATTACTAAATAAAAAAAAAGGCAAGCCCACCTCCACACTCTGAAAGGGACTCCAGGAGCACATAAGCCTGGTCTCCGTAGCAGCTCTGCTGGCCCGTCTGCCTCCGGTAGAAGGGATTGGCCGACTCGGAGCGGAACTCCGGGTTCGGATCCTGAGCCAAGATCCCCTTCAGTTTCTGGAGATCATACACCCAGTGGAGAGGCTGAGCTGCAGCAGACGAAATCACACGTATAATTTTTATATAATCACATAAATAAAACGAGAACTCCACTAATGGTATTTCATTATTTCCTGAGGATTAAAATATGGAAAAAAAACTTGCCTGCAGCATCTGCAACAGCTGATCCAACAATGGCTCCTATTGCTCTGCTGGCCACAGCTGGAGTCATCTGTCAGGACAAGGGATGCATACGACTTATTCCTGCCTTAAGAGGAGGGGGGGAACCCCCTTAAAACATTTATATCTGCTTATCACATTGTTTAACATCGTCCTAAGAAAATATGCTGTCTCAAATACACCTGAATGACCTTCTCGCTGCTGCTTGTGGTTTCAGCCAGAAGGTTCTCAATCAACAACTATTCCGTCGTTGTGACGGCGACGTTACAAAAGTTATTTAACCTGCATGGACGTAGTCTGACCTTAGCCCCCCTGACAGAGGGTCGTTTCAGCCCCTTCCGTGTCAACAGTTCCTGTTTTATTGATACGTCAGGTTCCTGCGGCGTTATAGAAGAGAAGGACTTGGACTTGTTATCGAACCTACCCTGTTGGCTCCGCCCACACCGGAAGCAGTTGAGATGACCCCTCCTGCGCCGATTCTTGATCACGTGACTAAGACATTTGCGCGCTTAGGAGCAAGAAATTCATTGAGCCTGCGATTTATGAAGGCTACACAACTCTCGTTAATTTTATCTACTATAACCATGTTACGTCTACTTCAACGTAAAAAGTAATTCTCCAAGAACCAAAGAAGAAGAAGAAAAAAAAATACAATTGAGGTTCTGAATAACTGAGGCAGACGGAAATATGAAAGTTCGTGCAAATTCCGATATTTAAAGATTAAAATAAAATGGAGCATTATGAAATGATTCATTTTAAGCCAAAAAAAGAGAAAATAAACACTTTCCTAAATCTATTTTAAATATGCAACTTATAACTAACATACTAGTTACATATATGTACTTTTAAGTGACTATATATAGAGTTTATCTTTGTTCTGCAGATTACAGGCTGATGAGATAGAAAATAACACTATAGAACAACGAAGCTCATTGTCAAAGCAGAAATTAAACTAACATAAACTGCAGGTTTGTGTCTGGTGCATCTTTTAGTTAAAGCATTTTTTTTCTTGAGTGCAATTATTCACAGGACGTAGAGTATGCAGAAACACTTCTTAATAATAATCCTCAATAAAAAGTTTGGAAGTGAAGGCCTTTTTTTTTTTGCATTTCCAACAATATGTCCATGATTTATGTACATTGTGTATGTCTGTATTTCCGGATAAGCAGTAAAAGCTGAAAACACGCTGACCTTTGAGGTGGACGTGTTTAAAGACTCGTCTTTGCATCTCCGGAATGTTCCTCAAGTTTTAAGGAGTCATTCGTCGCAACTGAGTCAAAACAACAGGTGTTTTGACGTCAGCGAGCACCCTCTACTGATCAGCTGCGGGAACTACAGTTCCAGACACAACCACTGCACGGCCAGCGAAACATTATTGAGTGAAACTGTAGGGTGAATCAGAAATGTGTTTAAAAATATATGCACAGAATGGTGATTATAAGTGAAATCCAACATACTGACCCGCCAATTAGCTGTCATGTTATTTGATTTTTTTGCCCAATTAATGAAATTAGAACAGAAAACCGGTAATGAAATCAGTCACCACCTGAGGTGTAAATGACACACACACGCATACACGGCCACACACACACATATAAATCCCTCTCTCTTCTCATTTAGCCTCTGACTCATGCAACCCTAGATGTTTACAGCAACACGAAGAACCACATTTCATCTTGAATTTCTGCAGGTGCTGAGACCATGCAAATCGCTGCTGTTTCAGCTGCAGGCCAACCATCATCACACACACAGATCCATCCGTCTTGCTCTTGCACGTCAAGCATTTCACTGCAGAATGAAAGGGAAGCAACATTTTTATTATTATTCTTATCTTACCAAGACATTTACTTTTCAATTAAGTTGCAGCGTGACAGTTTTACGCGCTCAGAAACATTCACATAAAAGCAAACTGACCATCAACCGCAGAGCAACTTTGTTAAAACGCCACTGAGAGAAAAGAGGCAGAAACTCAACTTTTACTCTATATTGAACATTGTGTCAACTTTTTCCGCTGCAACATTTTTTTAATCTTATTTCATACAGTTTCTAAATTTAGCCAACTTTTAACCTGTCTCTCCAAACAGTATCTGTCCTTTTATCGTCTTTTATCCAACACTTGAACAGAGATTCTGTACAAGAATTTTACAGTCAACATATAAAACAAGAAAGGACACATTCAGGAATATTTGAAAGGCCATCCAAATACTTTCTAGGACATTGATAGTTACCAACCAACTGACAGTTAACTCAGTTGGATGAATTATATAATCAAGGATCAGCTGTTCTTTGATCTCCGCAATCTTTGCAATCTTTGTTTTTGTATTTTGCTGCACCAGTTTGAGAGAAGGAGGAAGAAGGTGGGAGTCGAAATCAGATCGGCCTTGTGCTCTCGCCAATGCGCCGCAAAACACCCCAAACATTAGCTGTTAACTGTTTTCTTAATACTACAGACAGAATAGACCCAAAAGGTTGAAAATCCTTCATCGTTTTGTATCCACTCCACAGTTAGGCCCTAATAAAGCGTTCTCATGTGCCGGATGGCTAGTTTTCCTCCACAGGTAGAGCTTAGCTTGTAGCATTCCATATGCTAAACTATGAAGGCTACAAGGTTAAATACTGCTCTCATCTAATTAGAGCATCTTCACAAACCACATCCCCTCTTCCTACCTCTTGACATTATGCACCTCACTGTGTATGAAAATCTTTGCAAGGCACTGTACTCTCCAGTGGCCTCTACATCATTAGATTGTAAAGCAAGTGGTCAGTTGGCAGAATGAACAGGATGCTTGTTTTGATGACCAAAAAGCCATTAATTTAGCAAAAATCTGTGTTTGTGACACCTTTGCATTGAAGCCTCACCAGGCCCCATTCTCTCCTCTCTCTTCTTGTGGAGCTGGGTCCCTGAGTGACCCAGCTCCACATTTTAGCACTGCACCAATGCCAGCAGCAGCAAATTAGACACCGACTGCAGCCCCTCCTGATATGTACCTCTCTGTCCTACTTCCATTATTTTTAGCTGGGATCTAAGACTTCATCTTTCACTTAATATGGGAGAAGAGTGCCTTACATTTGCAGGCCAGCTCTAAATCTATCGCACCAGTTTTTTTTTCTTTGTTTGGCAAGAAAAGCAGAAGCGCCCAAACACAGTGCCCCCACTTCATCCCAGCAGCTTCCACTTTGTCTTCCAAATTTTCTGCGCTTGACATGTTGGGCCCTCATCATCTCACTCTGGCCCAGTTTTATAGGTATGCAGCTAACATTCAAACAAACCTACGCAAAGTTGTCACCCCTCCAACCACCTCACCCCCTGCTCAGTTACACCCCACCATAGGCGGACACTGTCACACCTATGTCAAACTTAGCCCAGCCCCTCTTGTACCCTGTGCCCCACTGCTAGTTTCCCATGTGGGGTCTGTCATAAGGTGGATCCAGGAGTTTAGTCTCTTCTGGGTGACGCGGATTGGAAAGGGTTCTGCAAGCAAAGAAAAAAAAAATTTTTTAACCCCACGCAGTTAATTGTACGATAATTAAAATAAATCGGAATCGTCTCAGAGAGAAGCCATGAAGTGGACATGGGTGCTTGTGGCAGTCTTGCTGTCATTCGGCGGACAGTCACTGTGCAAGGACAGCTTGGACTTCCCCGAATATGACGGCAAGGACCGAGTACACAACCTGAACGCCAAGAACTATAAGTCCGTGATGAGGAAGTACGACGTTATGGTGGTGTACTACCATGACCACCCCGGATCCAGCCGCGTCGCCCAGAGACAGTTTGAGACTGAGGAGCTGGCCCTCGAGGTGGGTTGAGATGGATATGGAGGAATAATTGGAAATAGACCCAGAATTTACATAATACTCAAAAGAATTAATAAGTACTATTAAAAAGGTGGAGTTTTTAAAAGCTCAAAATCAAGCAATGTTCTTAAGTGTGAATGTATGCACAATTTGAAAAAAATTAAATGCATGGGGGGGGGAGAACCAACAAATCCACACATTGCCTTGTGTTGTTTTGTTTCTTATTCCCCAAAGAATAAGATCAACGTTATGCGCTCATGATGTTGAGTGCATGTGCATGCCAATCCAACAGTAGGACCCCTGTCAGCCTGGAGACTCAGTAGTTTTCTCCACATTACGTCACCATCCAGCATAAAGCTTCTGCATCAAGGTGTTGAAGAACAACTTATCGAGGATCATAGAGTCAGTTTGCACACGATCTGTAATGCAGCAAAATACCAATTAGTATTAACAAAGTTTTCAGATTTGACATTTCATTAAAACTCATAAAAACGGCATGGTTTTGTCTTTTCTTGTTTTTCCTTTTACAAGATTTAAGATAGAGTTAGCACTCTTAAAAGAAACTATCAATATATATAAAAAAACAACAACAAAGAATGTGGCTGATTTATGACATTTTATCACATGGTGCATGTCTGATGTCATCACCTTTCTAAAATAATTTCCTACTTTTTTTTTTTTGTCAAAAGTAATTTTGAAAAAAAAAAATACTTTTCACAAAAAATAATCTGGGGCCATTATTTTAGGAAGATGCTTAGACGTGTTCAACAACTGCATGTTGCAAAAATAGGCAAACAGATAAATCTGTACTTGTAATAAAAAAAATGCATTGGCTCTCAAATACCAAATGGTATATAAATATATAAGGGCATAATTCTTTTATTATGGTGAGGTATTTGTCAACAGTGACCAATGAGCCTCTGGACACTCCAAGTATGCAAATATGACTAGAATGTCTGCATTAAAGCCCAAAACATGAACTCTATGTGAAATCTATGGTGGAAATGTAAACGAAGGAGGATAAAATAAAGTTGAAGGTAAATTAAAACATTAAAAAAACCAAGAAGAACAAACAGATTGAAGTGAGCATCTGCCTTTAGCATGTCACATCATCTCAGCAGGTTCTGGTGTCTCCGTTTGGTGGGGGCAGGGGGGTTGGTTTGGCCAGGGCTGCAGGCCAGCACTGGGGGTTCTGGATTCAGTGATGCCACCTCAGCTCCCCGCTGTGACTGACACTTGCAGCACTGTACTTGTCAGCGGATCCCCGAGTGCTGAGCATCGCTCACCAAAATAGCGCCTGGACTGGAGTTGGTCCTCTGTTTATATTTAACCTGAGATGCTGGAGTTGGAGGCTTGGGTTTCTCCTCGGAAACACATAATGATTTAAACTTAATGAGGTATTATTGTCAGTAGGGGGGAAAACGGTTAAAAAGCAGGACATTTTCGAGGTGATGGTACTCTGGATTAGTGCAAGATAGATTGCAGTGTGATTGAATGGCAACCCAGTCGGTTGCCATTCCAAAAATGTGCCAACAACGTAATTTAAAATGCTTCACTTTTCCCATTTCTGATCTACGACAGACGAGCTCAAAGCAATGCAAAGAATCATCTGCTGAACAACCTGCAGGCCGGCCTGCTTACGCCGACTATTTATGCCGCTAAGGGCAGCTGCTCAAGATCTCTTACTCCACTTACATGTGTGTACGTGAGCTCGTCAGCGAGCGACGAGGCAAGTGCGTTTTAGTCTTTAAATGCACTTGGACAACCTTAAACCACTTCCTCGAGGCAAGAGGGTCACAGCCCATTGGTGGAATCGACTGTCAGTCGAGGCTCATGTTTCGTACGGATTTAGAAAGTGCAGAAGCAGCTCTTTGAAAAGCAGGCTTTTATGGTGATGAAGCTCCTCATTACCATTCCTCGATATGTGGCCGCATTCTTGATGAAACGTGTTGAGGTAATGGAGTGTTTCGTTTTTTGCAGCGTGCAGCCCAAGTCCTGGATGAGTTTGAAGACGAGGATATTGGAGTTGGACTCATCGATGCAAAGCTTGACAAGGTCGTTGCAAAGAAATTAGGTAAATACATTAATAGGGAGACGGTAAACGGACGCAGAAATGGGTATTATATTGTCACCTTCCTAAAATAATTGTCTAACTCTTTTTGAATTTTTGTTGTTCATAATGACTTGGGCCATTATTTTATGAAGGTAATAATGTACAACACTGCACATTATTCACACCGCTTGAACATTTTTATATTGTTTCTTGTTACAGCTACCAGAATAAATGTGACCAGTTGTGGCAGTATAAATTTATCAAACTATCCACTAAGAAACAGTAAAAATATTAGGAAATAGGCGTCTCTGCATTAGATAAGAACTTCTTAAAATTAAAAACATATTTCATATTGATGTAATTAATATATAGAAGAAAAATCTGAGTTGATTTGATTGATAAAATGATATTTCAGCTGCACACCGAAATGTCATCTTGAATTTTTCTCTTGATGTGTCCGTCTCTAGAGTCTAGAGACCCACATAAAAACACTGATGTTTGCCACTTAAGTCGAGACTTTAACTGGGCCATTCCAACACGGGACTGTGCTCTGACCAACACCATTAAACTGTTGGTCTTATTGAACATTAAAGTGATGCACAGTTAGTTTATATTAACACATTTAAGCTATTCAAGAAGCTTGAATTATGCAGTATCTTAATAAAATATGTTGACCTTTCTGTTTGTGATCTGACATAATGTAAAAAGATTTAAGGCGTGGGAATATTTTTACGAGGAACTCATATTTCCCAGATTTATGTTTGTTATGGTAAGATCAGTCTCTCAATAACTGTCTTCTTTCTCTCCAGGCCTTGAAGAGTCCGACAGCATCTTCATCTTCACCGACGATGAAGTCATAGAGTACGATGGTGAACTTGAGGCAGACACTCTAGTGGAGTTCATCTATGATGTTCGTGAGGATATAGTCTCCCAGTTAATAGCCTGCCTTACTTAAGCATGAAGAAGGAAAGCAAATACTTTGAACTTGAATCAGGAAAAAGTCAAGATGCGTTTTGAAGATGCAAATGGACACAAAAGAGATCATTTTCACATTTATGTGACATATTAGTCAGAAATTTCCAGCGAAACCAGACCCACTTTGAGCTGACATCTACCCCCATTACAACTTTCCATTAAAAAAAAAAAAGAAACGACGCAAAATAGTGCATAAAGATTATCACCACAATTAAGATGATTTATGGAAATAAAGTTAGGTTTATGACTATGAAAAATCAACAAGCCTTGATAAAAAGAGCTTTTATCAAATAATGATTGTGGTCATCTGGTTTCAGTGTATAAACATTGAAACCAGAAACACTGAATAAAAACACACATGACCACAGGACATGTCTCCAGAAATGAAGGTCTTTGCCCCTGTGTGCATCCGGCCATCATGCCAAACAAGAAATCAGTGTTTTCCAGTTGTGGCCTTAAAATAAATCCACATATGTCCCTTCAATTAACTAAAATTGCTCAGTCAACCTATCAGAGTTAACTGATGACATCATCGTCATGGCTTCCCATCATTGCTTAAAGAGACAATAATAATTTTGTGTGAACTTCTGAATTTGAAGGAAGTTACAGAAAACTGTTTTCTGGCAAATAGAAATCACTTTGGTAATTCTAACTAAAATAAAACAGGAGAAATTTGGTCTGATTTAACTTCAGACAGTGATAAAAAAAATGTGTGTGTCCTTTTATTTTGTATGTGGTTTCAACCACATACATCTGACCTGAAATACATAAGTCAGCAAAACATAGAGACAATACGTAAATAGCTTTTAGTCATTGTTGCTGTTGTTTTTCCATGCCATCTTGCCTTTTTTCCGATCCGGGCTTATGTTTGCTGGCTACATGGATATTCCAACCAGATATTCTCACCACGGTTTTCTTTTCTCTTCCCTCCCACTTCGTTCCTCCCTCAGGTCCTTGAGGATCCTGTGGAAATTATTGACAACAGCAGAGAGCTGAAAGGCTTTGAAAGCATCGAAGAGGACATCAAACTGGTGGGCTACTTTAAGAGTCACAAGTCAGAACGTAAGAATATTGTGATGGCATGACTATCTGTGTCGAGTAACTGTGTAGCTAGATATGTTCAGCAGCATAAAGCCTGGGATAATTTCTGATTTTAACTCTCAGTCAGCGTCAGCTGTATATTGTTTGAGAGCTCACATAAAGACTGACCTGCTGGAACAGATTGACAAATACTTGTCACATTTCAGATTTCGAAGCCTTCGCAGATGCCGCTGAAGAGTTCCATCCTCACATCAAGTTCTTTGCGACATTTAATCCTAAGGTGAGGTCATTTGTGAAATGATTTCATCGTCTTTAGCTAAAAGATTGAAAAGATATGAACGCCATGCAGTCACTCATCAGTCATAAGCCTACCTGCACTCCAAAGAGTTTGGAAATTCATTCACAACAAGCCGTCTGCTCAATAGTAAGGCAGTTTACAAAAAAGTCCATGACATAAACTATGTCATGGGAGGGTCTAGTCAAAGTCAAGACAGCAAACTTTTTAGGAAACACTATAATGAGATTGTTATAGCACAACTGCGAATATGCCTAATCAGAAATGTACTTACTTGTTAAACTACAGAATGTGCTTTGTTCTGCAATTTTTGTTGCTTCGCATTCAGTTTCACAGCTTATTTAACTTAGACATGTCCAACACAAGATTTTGTGTGCTTTGCTGAGCATTTTTCAGTAATACCCAGTAGTTATTTGCGTTTCTGATACAGGCATCATTGTCAGGTTATTGATCCAATTACTGTTGTTTTGTGGCAGGTTGCTAAGGCCCTGGAGTTGAAGCTCAATGAAGTAGACTTCTATGAATCCTTCATTGAGAATCCTGTGGTCATCCCGGGAAAACCTTACTCTGAGAAAGAACTGGTGAAATTCATTGAAAATAATGACAGGTAGCTCCTATATTGTTGGCATGCTGCAAGATAGTTTTAGTTAAAAGCGTAACAGTCTGAATAAGATAAATATGCTTTTATTTTAATGGCTCTGTGTTTGTTTAGACCAACGCTGAGGAAACTAAAACCCAGCAACCTGTATGAGATCTGGGTAAGAAATGTCACACCTTCAGCTTTGTCTCAGTTTTTTTATGGAGAGGCTTTAAGTAAATGCATTGACACCTATATTTAATAGTTGCTGGTATTGTTATCTTCATCTCAAGTGTTTTAGAGCACGGATTGTCTTTATTTTGCTCACAGGATGATGATGTCGGTGGAGAACATATTGTCGCTTTTGCAGAAGAGGCCGATATCGGTAACGAAAAATACATTTCGATAGAAAATTCTTCTAATAAACAGATACATCTGTATGGTCAGAAACATATATGTCTATAAAGAAACAAGTATACAGTATCAGGAACAACAGAAATAACTTTTAACGTTTTTACTTGAACTGTCGTCTGCTGCTCCGCAGATGGCTTTGAGTTCTTGCACAAATTGAAACAAGTTGCAGAGGATAACACCGAGAACCCTGACCTCAGCATTCTCTGGATTGACCCTGACGATTTCCCTCTGGTAAAAAAAAAAAAAAAAATGATACAATAAATGACACTGAGCAATATAAGTGAAAACCTGGATTTAAAAGTTGGCAAAATGGTTGTGCCATAATTATCTTATTGATTCCCTCTTCAGCTTTTGCCACACTGGGAAAAGACCTTTGGAATCGACCTGTCCCACCCACAGATTGGTGTCATTGAAGCTGACGATGTAAGTATTATTCATAGGAACATATTTGTACATTTGTATAGTTTATCTATTCTTAAATGTTGCAGCACATTTAACTTAAGGTGGGTTTTGTTTTTGACTAAAGCTTATCCGTGTGGCAACAGTTTAAGCCCATGTATGCATAAGAATGTCACCCATTCAAGTGGAATTGGGTCTATAAACAGATGCAGCTGTTTGTTATCACTTAATTTCACACTTTCACAATTTTGATCTTTTCTGACTGCCTATGAAAAGATGAAAAGGAGCCATCTGCCACATTTTGTACTGGACACAGATCACTCTTTGGGGGAGTTTCTGATCCACTAGATCCCAGCGTTGTGCAGGATTAGGGACGCTCACAGGCTCTTGGCTGAGCTCCAATATGTTGGAGTTCTCCTTAGTGAGTGAGAGGCTTCCCTTTTAGTGACATAAAGCTGTGAGATAGATGGATATAACTTGTGCCAATGTGTTTAAGTGCAGTTTTGGAAACCTGGTCTTCATTTGGCCTCTGGGTGATGTGCTGGAATAGGTCTTCATTTGGCCTCTGGGTGATGTGCTGGAATAGGTGGCAACTGAATATTTGATTGTTTTCCTGGGGGACTTTAATTGTACTATTGGCAATTGTGGAATCACATCCATAGGCATGATTGGGAGGAATGGATGTCTGTTCTAGGTATGGGATGTCCAGAACATCTCTGGACATAAAGGGATCAATGATCGATTGAGTTAATTGGACGATTAACTCGTCGGCTGTTGCTCAGTTGATGCAAAAACTAGACTTGACATCTCACAGCTGATCTGGTAAATTGGCACAACGGACAAACGAGAGGATCTTTTTCCCTGTCCACAAGTTGAGTTGATTTTCAATTTGAATTTGAATTGAATTAAATGGAATTTAATTCCCGCTGTTGTTGCTGTGCAGGCTGACAGCGTGTGGATGGACATTGATAATGGGGAGGATTTACCTTCTGTGGATGAGCTGGAGGAGTGGCTTGAAGATGTTTTGTCGGGAGATATTGATCCTGAGGAAGACGACGACGATGACGACGACGACGATGACGACGACGATGATGACGACGACGACGACGACGACGATGACGACGATGATGACGATGACGACGATGATGACGATGATGACGATGACGATGATGACGATGACGATGATGATGATGATGATGACGACGACGATGATGACGACGACGACGATGATGACGATGATGATGACGATGATGACGACGATGACGACGACGATGATGACGATGATGACGATGATGACGACGACGATGATGACGATGATGATGACGATGACGACGATGACGACGATGATGATGACGATGATGACGACGATGATGACGATGACGACGATGACGACGATGATGACGACGACGATGATGATGACGACGATGATGATGACGATGATGATGATGACGACGATGATGATGACGATGATGACGACGATGATGATGATGATGACGACGATGATGATGACGACGACGATGATGATGACGACGACGATTAGACAGCTGAGTCGTAATTTAAACTTTAAGTCTGACCAATACCATTTGAAGAGTCAACATTACCATCGCGTTGATGACTTTGCTGAATCAACCACTTTTGTGACAATTTCTGATCAGGAAGTCGTCCGTTCATGTAAATCCTTCATCTTTTCATCATCCTCTCTCAGCAGCTCACCAGAATCACTATATTCCATTAGTTTTTTTGTCGTTCTCCCTGACAAAGTTACTGATCTATGATGTAAAAAAATCTTCTATTTATTTCCACATGTAATACTGTCTTGTACAATAAAAGAAGATATTCTTTAAAAATCCTGTCACCTACTGCTTTTGATTTTGAACATATTAAAGTTTTTATATTCATAGAATTGAAAGGGTTTTGTTGTTTTTATGCAAAATATAAAAGCCCAAATGTCTTGTCTTTTGCTGTTTGCATGTTTTATGTGCATTCAGATATTTTCTTGTTTTCCCCGGTACTGAACTGAATAATATTCGATTCAAGGGTGCTAACAGTCTGTCACGTTGGGTCTCAAACACCACCAGTCTACTGTGTTCAGTCAGTGTGATGCTGTACAATGAAAGTACTGTACATCATATGGATGTTTTCTATGATGATGAATTATGACAACAACCAGATTCTATTTTTGTAAAGAGAGAATTTTAATTTACTGTGAAGTCTTAAATAAACAACAACTTGGAAAGAAAGTCACTTATTGTATAATTCTTACAGAGGTGAGCATGAGTGTATGTCTTCTGCATTTTGGGTTTTTCTCTCTGTAATATAACAATGTTCTCAGGAGGAAACGACAAGGAAAGGAGGGCAAGCAGATCAAATCTGCTACTTCCATCTTTATGAAGCTTATGGCAATATGACATCTTTCTATAACAGGTCAGGGGTTTATTACTGCTAATAACTTTATAAAAACTCGCTGCAAAAAACTTAACCCTTTAAAGCTATGACCTTAAATGTGCAGTGTTACTGGTGTACAGTAAATGTATTAATGCTAAGGCCGTGTCATCATGTTATGATTTATGTTTATAGGAAATATCAATGTCAGCCATTTCAAGACTAAATTAAAAACCAAGACAAATAAAACAAACAATAAGTCAATTCTTTATCTATTGTAGATTATTTTTAAAGGTTCTTTTTCAAATGTACATGATTAGCCAAGAAAATTATTTCAGACGGCAACATATTTCAAAAAGCATTTATTTATTTATTTGAATAATATTTATACTGTAAAAATATGTATATATTCATTTATCATTTGTAGCTTGATTTCTTCAAGTCAGTTTCTTTATTGGTTTTAAAACTAATGCATGCTTATGTGTTCAGAGGCACATTGTAATAAAAATGCAAAAATTACCACCAACATGACTTGGAGAAATACAGTTAGCCAAATAACTCAGGTATGTTACGATCCACTCTAGCAGTTGATAGGTTTCACTAAAACCTATCAGCACCGACCTGCTTCAGCAGCACTCTGCTGGTCATACGAGAATGAGGAATCAGGAGAACACCGATTTAATTTTATAACATAACACAGCAGAAGGCATTTTACATCTAACTCGAAATAAAGCTAAGTACAAGACACATGCACACCAAATGATAAAAAAGACATAAATTATGTGAATATCCTCCTTCGGCCTGTGATCCACCAGCTTGGTTTTTCATCTTGCACCTGGAAGAAAATATGTATTTAAGAGTTGCATTGCCTCCCCTCATCCCCAGCACTGATTATGTGCTTGGCAAATAATAAAGTGCTTGATTATTTGACGTGTGGTGCACATTAACATGGACCTAATAACATTGGTGCAGCGATCTGCCGTGTTTTCCAGCATCAATGCTAGTTAATACACACATATAGGGTATATTACGCAACCATTTCTGTGTCATTTTGTGAAGATTACTTATGTTGAGTTCAACCAAAAAAAAAGGGTGCATCCAAAAAACCTTAGACTCAACCAAACACTTAGGCTGCCAGCCAAAAGATTTGCAAAAGTAAAATCAAAGTTTCAAACAAAAATGAGTGATTTCAATATTTATGTAGCCGGGGCATTATGTCCATTATGCACTCTTCCGGTTGCCCATATAAGGAAGACGCTGTTTTAGCGCAGCTGATTCATTACGGAGGCAAGCAATCGGTATTTACATTTAAAAGCGGGTAGATCGCTGAGAGGGTGAGAGTCCAGGCTGATTTCTCTGCAGGTATGGTTAACATGAAGTGTGCGCTGGGTTGAGAATTATTTCTGATGGCTCCATTTTATTGCAGGAAACCTCCTCTTGGAGAGGATATACAGAGTTCTGCTAGCTTTTAGCGAAGGTAAAGGCAGTTCATTATTATGTGGTTATTTAAAATATCTGTTTAATTTTATTCTCTGTTGTGTGCAGGTTGGCCTGCTACTGTTTCAGTTTTAGTTTGTTTTGGTTATTTATGGATTAAACTTTTTATTCTTTTGGGAGTTTTTATTGTTCAGCCCTCCAGGCTCACTTGTAGATAACCTGTGCTGTCCCTGGTTCCAAGCTGTTTTATCTAGATTGAGGAGACTAGTGAGAGGGGAGTTTCTTGTTTTGTGTTATTCACCAGGAGTTTTTCTTTTGTTGTGCGAGTGTGTTTTTGTTTGGGAACACCTAGGTGTATTCAGTTACATTTGTTTTTTTAAATTATTATTTCTCCCCAAGCAGTCTGATTTTATTTAATCAAAGTAACTGGTCATCAGCGGTAAGGTTTCCAGGGCCAGCATAGATTTAGGATTTTAAAGTGGTTGATATTGTACAATAAAAATGAATTGACTATTTATGCCTAGCATTATTGTGATTAAATAAACTGTGGTTAATTTGCATCAGTGCCTCTGATCATTTTCTTTGCAAACTTATGTGTGATCTGGTAAAAAGACACCAGAGGATTTAAGGTTCTTCACACATAACTAAGGTGGTAACCGAGGTCACATTTAAAAAAAGCTTTTTAAACAATTTTTAAAAAGAATTCTTAAAATTTGATTGAGATAATTTTTTTGGTTTTAAACATTTTTTTTCTTTTTTGAAAATCCAAAAGTTTTTTATCATAACTCTTTTTATTATTATTATTATTTTGGTTTGACATGATTTTTATTATTATTATTATTATTATTATTATTATTAATAATAATAATAAATAATCGTGAAACAACTCCACAGCAGACTTTCCGCGGTGGGCCCTTGATATTTTTGCTCCATCCCTGTCAGCTGCTCTCTGCTTTCGATGCGCATGCGCTCAATCCAAAACACGCCCCTTCCCTTTGGAGAGGGCCATGTGGTCAGGCTGCGGTTGGTAAATAAATGCTAAATGGCGACTTTCGCCTAGGACGGGGGAGCTTTTCGGGGATAAACTCTTGACTTTCGTGCAGCCATTGGGGCCCAAAATGTCTGCGGACGTCGCGAACCTCCAGGCGCAGGTGGAGACGGTGCTGAGGGCGCTGGTCAAGGCGGCGTCGGTGGAGTTGCTCAAACTGTTTGAGAGCAGATACCGAGCGGAGCCTGTGGCCGCGGGCCGCGCGGAGGAAGAGGAGCGGAGCGGAAGCGTGGAGTCGCTGTGCGCCGTGTGGACCGGGGGCAGCAAGCGAAGCATCGGCGTGCAAGTGGAGGAGGACATCAAGACGACCGTGGAGCTCGGTGGGTTTGCGTGTTCTGACTTCCGTGCACAACGATGGGAGAGGATTAATGCTTCGCTTTGGCGGGTGATGAAACCCAAAAAATACTTTTTTGTGCTTAAAGCAGTCGGTTTTGCATGCATCAGTCATTCCTGCAGAACCGGATTAGTTCTCCGAGTAATCTCTGTCGCTAAAGTGTACGTTTTCTTTCGGTGTCGTGACCCCTCCCCCCTCTTCTGCTCTCCAGACTCTTCCCTTCTGCTTGGTGCGAGTTGCTTGTGGGAGTCCAATAATGTGGAAGTGGAGGATGGCCTGGTTCCGTCCGAAGTCCTTCTGGCTGAAGACACTGACCCTCATTGGGCACCTCGGGAGGATCAGGTCGGTGGGGGGCTAACAGCCTGCAAATCACTTCGCGATGTGACCATTCATTTCGGTCGATATCGATAATTATTACGTTTTTTTTTGTTTTAAATATCTGAAATACTTCTAAACTGGTAGTGACATGACCTCTCCTGTTTTAATCACAGTTTTCACACCATGCTGCTGCTGTTGTTTTGTTTTTAAGCTATGAGGCAATGTGGCATGGTTCTCAACAAGTTGTTGGTAGGTAACCAGTACTTGCACTTGTTTACGAGTGAGCTAGTACAGGGGTTTCCAAATTTTTCCATGTCATGGCTCCCCAAAGCGCGTTGACCTCCAGCGGTTTTACAAAATATGTAAAGAAACATCAATTCTTACAATGTGTGTGTTTTATTGATTTTTTTTTATCCACCATTCTATAATTATTACAAGCATAAATGATCCCTGATATTAGATGGCCATGAGTCCTGTGACAATTTGTTGTGAGTTTATTACCAGATACTACTTTTTTTTTTATCACAATCTCCTCTTTTGATTATATGTATGAAAATATGTAACATTTAATATTAGTCACATCAAATTTTATTGTATTCCTGCAGCTCTTGTCTAGTTTTTGTTTTTTTCGCAGCAGTGTCGTCTACAGTGGGGCAGTTCCTTTGGGTCTTTTTCTTGTTAAATCCATTAACACTTCTTGCTTTAGCTTATGGAGCAAAGCAGCTTAAAGAGTTTGACATGGCAGCCAATCAGAAAATGACATGGATTGTTTCATTCCACTTTAATGTGTTGCCTTTAGAAACAGGAAATCTCACGAGGTCTGGTAAACAAGTCCTACTGCTTTCTGTTCTTACGTTATCAGATTAAAGCAGATTCCATGGATGCGTTGGAGCTGAGCAGCCTGGAGCTCGACTCTCTCGCTGATGATGACGCTCAACTTAAGGATATTTTGCCTGGTAAGCACTCACATGAACTGATGTTATTATCCTGTTATTCTTGGATAATAAGAATAACAAGAATTGATGGAGTAAATAAAAAAATCTTCCTCACTCTGTTGGTTTGACCTGTAGTTACAGTAGGTTACTGGTAAGAAATGGGATGCAATATGTTCATATAAATCATGTTTGGTAATTTACTTTATTTCTCATGGTAGAAATACGCACAAGTCTAATGCTGTACTCAACTTTACTTGTCGACTACACCAATCTTGCCTTTCAATCAGACTGCTTCTTATAAATTGGTGGAAGTTACAGCTCTTAAACACTTTCACAAAATTATCTCATCACTTTGTCTGAGACGCTAGCGTAACGTGGCCCATGTCTGTGAAGTCAAACCTGACTGATAATCTGAAAAGTGTGGAAGTTATTTGCATTCAGCTTCTTTTTGTGTGTTTGAAAGACGTATTCAGCTTACAAATATGTCAATACTTATATTGTGATATTGAGATATCACAATATTATCTCAGTCCATAAAGAGACAAAATATGAAAAAGGTCAAAGGCTCCTTTTGCAAGAGAACTTTTGTATATTGCCACTAAGCGTAACAATAAAAGAAGCTGTGCTGTATTTCGATCTCTGCAGGCGAAGGTTCTGGAACAATGCAATGTGGATCTACCCAGATATCACCCGCGAAGCAGAAGCCTCTTCTGATTCAATCAGATACGAGAAAAAAGGCTTTTGGGGAGACGGTGAAGTTTGTTTGCCCCTTAATCATTACGCCAGACTCTTCGGCTCCTAAAGCTGAGAGTTTGGAGGACCCCGTTCAAGCTGAGCCCCAGCAAGCCAGTGTGAGCACGGCCAAGGGGACCGCCTATAGCCCGTCGCCGTCCGACGGGGCCGTGACCCCAGCGCAGGTCGGAGTGTGGGAGCGGATCCACTCGCCGAAAGACTCCAAGAACCATCTGCAGATGAAATTGAAGCTCACCTCTCCAGATCAAAAGTTGCTTCTTCCCTGCGAGGTACAGCTGGTCAACATGCTCACAATACCAGAGTTGAAGACCGAGGGCGACGCCGCCGCGAAAACTCTCAACGCAAACAACAAATCCGGCAGGACTATCCCCAAAGACCTGCGTCGGCACCAAGGTCCCCACACTGGCCATCGCCTCTGCTGCTTCACAAGGTGCGACAATGACGTCTGGCGCCTCCAGAACATCGTCACACACTCCCGCGATGGATACGTCTGCGGCAACTGCGGGAAGGCCTTCAAGCGCCGCAAGATCCTCCGGCGGCACGAGCGTTTCCACACCGGGGAGAAGCCGTATGCGTGCGCCAAGTGCTCCAAGACGTTCGCGCTGAGGAAGAGCCTCCGCCGCCACCTGAGGTTTCACACGGGCGAGAGGCCGCACACCTGCCCGGAGTGCGGGAAAAGCTTCCGGCTGCGGGACAACCTGAAGGCGCACCTGCGGTTTCACAGCGGAGAGAAGCCTTTTAGCTGCACCACCTGCGGGAAGACGTTCCGGATCATGAGGAATATGGAGAAACACAAACTGAGCCAGTGCGATTTCTTTGTGCCCTCTTTCAGGAAGATCGCTGGCTTGTCGCTGTGAAGGGAACAGCGTCATGCGCCATTGTCTACCTCAGACTTCTAACACTGGACTGCTCATGGAGATCGCCGTCCTCTAAAGCAGAAGAAAAGACACTTTACGTCAAAGGTCTCAAACTGTATTCTCAAGGTCTGGTGTCCTGCAACTGATAGACACATCTGTTGTCCTACACACTTCAGAGGTGAAACTGTGTCACTAACATTCAGTCCAGCTCCACAGAGCTCTGCTAATGAACTAACTTTGGAACCAGGTGTGCTGAATGCAAAGAGACACCTTAAAGTTGCAGGACACGGGCTTTGAACACTGTAGTGTGAGACCTCTGCTTTAAGCTGTATCTAATCCATATCAGCTCCTGATATTTCGTTTCTGCTGTAGTGACACCAATACTGGTGTCAAGGGGTCATTTCTTGTTTGAACCCAGATGAATGTGGTTTTCTACTTTTTACTCGTTTCTCCTCTTGGATTTGTCCGGTCATTGAGTTTCAGCTCTGGGGCGAGGAAGAGTAAATCAGATCAACTCTTAACGCCCAGCAAATGCGATTGAATCTGTGAATGTTCCCGACGTGACGCGAACATAGCTCGGCTTTTTGAAACCGACTAATTCCAAAAAGCTTTATATAACCTTTGACCCTTTCACAGAAGATTTTATGCTAGAGCATTGTGAGAGCGTCTCTGTGTGTTTTCTGAGAGGACTCTGAGCTGGACGGTGTGGTCGTGATTGACTCGGGTAATGGTTAGCTCTCTTGTGGGTTTGACGTTGCAACGGCATTAGTCAGCCTCCCAACGGTTTTAAGAGAAAATGCGCCGGGACTTTGAGACACATCCTTTGTCGCCCATTGGACAGGGTTTGCCAACACAGAACAGCTCACAGGACTTTGTGAAGAAGCTGTGGAGTGTTTTGTGGCGCGTTTTTACCCTTTAAAACATAAGATATCCGACACTAATTTCATTCATTTCTTTATGGCCCCACAAAGTTCCACTCCAGGCCCTCTTTGGGTTCACAATGCCACTTTTATTGGTGCTTTCTCAATCATACCAGGCAGCTAAAGAGGTTCTGTTTGTGGTAATACGAGTATGGAAGAGGCTCTGACTTGTTATGAATCAGATGGATTACCTTTGTGTTTTCTGAATGTAGATTTCTTACAATTCGCCGACATTCTCGTTTTTGCCAAATGGCCATTCCTCTCTTTAAACTTACATTTGCTTTCAGTTTTGTGTCACAACACTGAAAGCAAATCTTTCACTTGATTTCCTTCCAGGAAAATATCTTTGCATTTGTTTCTTGGTCCAAATTTTACACCCAACTGAAACGGTCACCATCTTTGGCCACATGATGAATATCCTTCTTTGATGGCATTTCAGATTATATTTTTAAGCTTATGGTTTCTCACAATCGGACAGGGGCAGCAGGTTTCTATGGATTCTGCAGACTCACTTGCAGTTTTAGACGGGTTCTTATGGTTGTTCTAGTTCCTGTTTTTGCTTTTGCTTTGTAAAAACTGAACCGATCCATTTTGAGTTTTTTTTTGTTTGTTTTTTTGACGTGTGGTTTTTGTTCCCTATAACAAACCAGGCTGATGACCATCCTATTAAAGGTTATGTCATCGTTTTCCTTACTTTATTTCTTCTTACTACCACTGACTCCCTGATTCCAGCTGCTGATCACTTTGCTCCTGTGTGTCCTCGACTTTTCCAGGTATTAAATGGAGCCATCTGCCACATGACTGTTTATATGAACTGTAGTGGTTACTGTGATCATTTTTGTTGATTTTTTTATTTTTATTTTTTTTTGCTTGTTTGTTTTTTATTAACCGGTCATGAGTCTTTCAGATTTTATGAGTTTAGCGGTGGAAACAGATCCGAACCAAAGTAAATAGAAATTATGTCAAATACAAAGCTTTAAGAAAATAGTACAGTTCTATTGTGTATGACAGTTTATTGTTGATATGAACATGTATTTCCATAAATCATTAAAAATAGGCAATCACATAGAAAAACCTATTGAATGAAAAAGTCTTAAGTTTATGTGAAAGGGAGGAAACTGTAACATGTGGATATGAAAGTAAAGTTACTATGTGAACAAAGTTAGTAAATGAAGAGTTTTTTAAAAATGCCATATTGCCCACTTTAGATGTTTACGTAAAGCAGAAAATACTGAGGCTGGAAGTGGAAATCAGTGTTATGTCTGTTGCACGAGGAACTCTGCGCCTGGAGAACAAACCAGCAAGGGTTTCTGGGTAACGGGACCAAACAGTTTCTGAGATGCTAAACTTTATGTGTACACCTCTGTAAGTTTTTTGTTGTTGTTGTTGTTTTTATTTTTTACTGTTTTTTAACTTTTCATTTATGGGTTTTTGTATTTGCTTAAAGATTACTGAATGTATATACTCATTTTGTCAGGCTGGTTAGTTTCTAAAGCCAGTTCCAGAGATGAGGGACTGAACCATCACCATTACGGTCCTTCAGACGTTGCTCAAGGATTCAGTCCAAGCTGCAGGTTTAAGAAGTTAAAATATGGGATTTGGTTGCAATATGAACTACTCCAGTGAATGTTCATCTCTGAAGATGTTCTTCAAAACATCTCATTTATGGTGTTGGATTTAGTCGGATCAGAAAAACTTGGTAATCTTAACATTCTAAGTTGTGTTGTTGTGAGATTATAACGTCGTGTCTGAACGGCCTTGATGAGCTGTCAAGCTTGCTTTTTAATGGGTTTTAATTCTAAACACATCTAAATCTAAACGAATGATGTATCTAACCTTATAGGTGCTTTGCAAAGACTTTTTTCAAAAGTTTTTATGGTTCTCAAGATGTATACTTTCTATTGACAAATGCCTGTTTTTCATCTTTTTTAACTGCTGTTGGTAAATAAATTGTTTGTGTCAAACGTAAGAATTTTGTGAAAGATTTATTCAACTTTAAAAGGATCAAAGCACGGCGTTGTTTACTGCTGTGATCTTTCAGCCAATTTAAAACTCTCCAGACATGAACAGAGCCACATTCACAAAAACTGTGGTATTAAAATAGAAAAAAAATTCACTGCAAGTCTATATCAAAAATGTATAGGTTATAAAGTAAGTATATTAATAAAGTGTGTATTATAATACATTATGGAAGTTATTACATAATCCTAGTTAAAAATGCTGCACATCTGTCTTTTGTTTAATTTGTTCATAACTAGTAAATGTATTCATAGTGTTAAGTAATAGAAGTATTTGTATTATTGTTTGTGTTAAATTATACTGTGAAATAATTGTGCTAGGACTAGAATTAGTTGTGCATTTAAACATATTTTATCAGATTGGTTGGTCTGCCTCACGATTAGGAGATATGGTTCACTCTAAAAAATTTGGGACAAAATTTGTTAAATGTAAACTTTCGTATCTCATTAGGAAAGTTACTTCTATCAAATCTGCCACTCTCAACATGGCGGACGCGATGACGTGTGGTCCTTTGATCTGCGAACTTCACGACCTGTAGACAACGTACAACGTGCTTGTAGGATTTCCCGTTGACTAAACTCAACGCGAATTGCATTTTTTCCCCTTTTGTTCTCAAGAAAAAGAATTTTAAAAAAGTTATGTTGATATCATTAGACTATTTCTAATGAAGACTAGCTTCATTAGAAACGAAGCTATTCTTCATTTGACGTGTGGCCTGAGCTCGGACGTCACGCAGGCCCCGCCCCCACCAGGAAGTAGAGTCGTGAGTTTCTCTCCGCTTTCACTTTCTGCCGAAACTTCAACCAAAAACGCCGAAGCAGCCTCCCCTTGAAGTCTGGGGACGAACTGGGGCGTTTTCACGCCGCTGCGAACCTGCGTGTCTGTGCCCGAGTCCGTCACTTACCCTCAACAACCAGAATATAGGGGTAAATAAATCAGCAGCACAGGATTTCTCTGGAGTTGCCTCTCTGGAGGGGTCGAGGATGGAAGATGCAGATCACGCCCGGTGGGGGGAGCTGCTAATGTGTCCGGTGTGTCAGGACACCTTGAGGGATCCCCGCCAGCTGCCCTGTGGACACAGCATGTGCATGGACTGTCTGACCGACCTGCTGGACCACTCCACGGACTCGCCGTTCCGCTGCCCGGGCTGCAGGGCGGACTTTGGGCAGGTCGTGGAGCTGCAGAAGAGCTACGCCTTGGCCAGCATCGCAGAGGACTTCAGGTTGATCAAGAAGAGGAGGGTGTGTGTCACATAATTCGGATGCACAGACCGGGCTTTTTGTTTTGTTTGTGGATGATATGAATTTACAGCTTTTTTGAAGTCGAACATGCGATATGACGCGTCCTCTAACTCTAGCCTTCATTTGATTCATTTACAGAAAACAACAACAAAAAAATTAAAAAATAAGTTTCAGTGTTTTTTACTAATCAGACCTGATTTAGGAAACGATTAATCGTAATGACTTAATCATTGGAATAACCATCAACTAATTTAGCCATCGATTAATGGCTAAATTAACCAGGGTTAATGATTAATCGAGTGTCAAGCCTTAAAAAAACTATAGTTGTTGAAAGAGCAATATATATTATTATTTTGCTTATTTATGCGTTATTTATACCTTGTATGGAGTGGCATGTCAAGTAAGCAATTTCCTCATGAGGATTAATGAAGTTACTCTGTTCAGAGCAGTAATGAAGCAAAAGCTGTACAAAAAATACATTTAAGATAGAAAAAAACCTCCTTTGTCTATAAATCTGTCCTATACTGAAGTCCTCAAATGGTGTAGTTTTAGCTTCTGTAAAAGAATTAATCCGATCATTAATAGGTTAATCAAAAATGAATCAACAGATCAGTCCTACAGGGTGTCGATGTTTAGTCAAGCAGAAAGCTTGACTTGCAGATGTTAGAAGTAAACGTCCAACATCTGCATCCCTTGCTACAAACGATCAATGCTACTTTATTGCATTTTAAGCAATAAAATGTGTTTTCTTACTTAAAAAATATATAGCCTATTAAATTGTGTTTTTGTGAACATTTTTAAGTATTCTAATCCTGTATAAAATAGTTAGAAGTTTAAACGAAAATGGTTCAGTGTGCCAATTTTTCATCCAATTAATCATCGGAATAATCGACTGAAAAATCGATTATTTATTTATTTATTTATTGTCTGGCTGATGGATCGCTTCCTCGCAGGAGACGCTGGCTGAATGCGTCTACTGCGACTGCTGCCCCGAGACAAAAACTGCTGCCTTCAAGTCCTGCCTGAAGTGCGAGGTGTCGCTGTGCAGGGATCACGCCAAGGACCACTTGGAGCTGCGGGCGTTCACCGGACACCCCCTGGTCGATCCGCTCAGCGACCTGCTGGAGAGGAAGTGCCCGCAGCACGGGGACCAGGTGCTGCGGTACTACTGCAGCTCGTCCAGGCGCTACGTCTGTAACCTGTGCGCCCTGGAGAGCAAGCGGCTCGGCTCGGCCTCGGACGCCTCCGCCGTCCTGCGACGACAGATAACTGTGAGTTCGGCGTCGCTCCTGCAGCCGCGTCATTGGGTGAGAGCTGATCAGGTGTCTGTGTTCAACAGGACCACATGGACCAGCACTTTCAAACGCTCCAGCAGCAAATGAAAGAGTCTATAGATGCTGTAAGCAGCCAACATGAGGTACGTGATGCTAGATTTAGAGCGAAGGTCCACATCTAGAGCCGCAGCGGGTCAAAACACATGCATGTGTCAGAATGATCCGAAACCTTTTTGGGAAATGTTGAAAATGACTGTTCAAAGATGTTCTCCACCCAAACTGACTTTCTTTGCATGTTTTGTTTAAGCATGTAAGTTGAGGATAAAATTAACACAATTTGTTTGGATCATTTATCGATCTGTGCACCTGAAACAAAGCTTGCCTTACATTTTATATTTTAAACAATGTTATGATTCACAAATGTCTTTGCCCAGTCAGATTTCAACGTTTCTTTTTGTTTCTTCTTAAATCCAGAAACAGAAAGGAAACCCTCTTGATCGTCTCAACGGCGTCACGGTGGTCCTGCTCTTCCTGTGGTTCATAGTCCTCTACTACGGTGAGGGGGACGATGCCGGGCCCTGAAATGGGCGCCGTCTTTCTGCGTCGCCAGATTTAAAAAAAACCCTGTTGACGTCCATGTTTTGTTTCTCACCAGCCTACAGCTACTCTGTGGAGAACCAGACACTGGCGGACGCCCTGGAGAGGCAGCAGAGCCGTGTGCATCACATTTATTCCAGCATTGCAGGTGCAACTCCGCCGTCACGCGCACATCAGAGCGAGCAATATGGGGTTTGATGGTGAAAAGACGACGTCTGGGTTGCGTCTGCTAAAAAGACGTCAGTCTCCGTGTCCAGGTTACTCTCCGTAAATAGGGAATGACAGACTAACAGATGGGAAAACAACAGGTTGTTTTGAAGTTTCAACTTTTTCTGACCCAAACATTTTTCAAAAATGTCGGCTGTTATGTTCAAGAGAGGACTGTTATGAAGTGAGAGAGGACACAAACTTCCTGATGTTTCCGAAAGTTGGAGCTACCCTTGCAAAGTACAACAAGTCTGAACGTCAGGAAATCAAGTGATTCAGAGAAAGTCTGCCGGTGTTGCACCACATCTCAGAAATGTATCAGCAACGGCGCAAGAAGTGGGTATGCACTGTCTGTGATGCATACGGGTGCCACCCTAAAAGGGGCGCCAAAGCTATGGCGGAAAACCGATTTCTAGCCGGCATTTTCTTTTTTTAACAGACGTCTGTGTAAATGATCTGATTGCCTATTATTTGCCTACATACGTCTCAGAAAGTTCAAAGTTGCTCCCTTGTCAATGTAAATAATTTGGAGCCTGCTCTCAGTAAGTATTTGCTTCTAAATCTTTATTAAAGGTGCGTTATTGTCATTCTACCCTGAAAATGGAAGTTTTAAAGTGGAGCTCATGTTCATTTTGACTCAGTCCCGTCTTCTTCCTGCATAGGACACATGGCTGATCATCCTCTGAAGAGGCGTTCAGGAGACAAAGACGAAGGTATGGATGTGTCCTTTGTTATCCTTCTAAATGACAAATAGCCCTAAAATAAAAATGAAGGATTTGTCATTTAAGGGCTTTTTTGATTTCCATGGTTTTGCTCATGGTTTTGTTGCGGCCCGGTCACATTTGCGAAACGGCACCACCCTTCACAATAGGATAAACAAAGACAATGCGTTAAAAGGCTCATATTTTCATGTCAGGTTAGGTGTGGAAAAGCATGTGTGTGAGTGTGACCCTCTGTCAACACCTGCTCTGTCAGGGACCGTCATGTTGGACCTGGACACCGCCAGTCGTCTCCTTGGGCTTTCTGCCGACCTCCGGACAGTGGAGCGAGTCAAAGCGGCGCTGCATTATCCCAACAGCGACGGCCGCTTCGACCAAGCCCCGCAGGTGCTCTCCGCCCCGTGCTTCTCCTCCGGCGCCCACGTCTGGGAGGTGGAGGCCGAGGGCTGCTGGGACATCGCCGTCTCCTACCGGAGCGCCCCGCGACGGAGCACAGACGGTAGCTGCGCATTCGGACGCAACTCGGAGTCCTGGAGCCTGTCCCACAGCGGGCAGGGCGAGCTGTTCGCCTCCCACGGCGGACAACAAACCGCTCTGTCCGGATCGCTGCGCGGCAGCAGAATAGCGGTGGAGGTGAACTTTGAGGAGGGCAGGATCGCCTTCAGCGCCGTGGGCTCCACCGAGACGCTGCTGCACGAGTTCCAGGCGGAGCTGACGCAGCCTGTGTGTTTGGGTTTGGGCCTCCATCATGTTGACCCGCCCAGCAGAGCCTCCATTGTGAAGGTTTCATGAAGCAGCGGACGCAAAATACATGGAGCCTGGCAGCTCATTACAGCTCAGGAACAAATATTTCAAGAGGTTTTTGCACAAGTAAACTTTTCTAGGTTTTGATTTTTCACAATATTGAATGTATAATTCAAAACAAGATTTTTTATTTTTTTATATAATGAACCAAGGTTTTTTGTTTATTAAGCCTTTCAAAGTTGTTTTGATAGTTTTACTTTGAGAATAATGCAATTCATTTTCTAATAAATTTTTAAAATCACTGATTTGATTCTTTATGTATAACGATTGAGTATTAGGGCCATATTAAAAAAAAAAATAAATAAAATTACGGGAATTTAGTCATAATTTGACAAGAGTCAAGTTGAAATGATACGAGAATAAAGTTGTATCATAATAAAGTAACATTACCAATTTACTCTCGTATGACTTTGTTCTCATATTGTAACTTTATTTTTGTATTATTTTGACTTTATTGTAATTTTTAATAGTCATAAAATACAGGATACTTTACACAAAAAGTCTTTCAAATTACAGTGATTTAAGAAAATTCATAAGAAAATTAGACTCAAAGTAAAATCTTGTAATTTTATCTGAACAACTTTGAAAATCCTGTGTTCAGTTTCTTGAAAAAAAAATCTTGTCATCTGATGGTGTGTTATCAGATTATCAATCAATTCTTGTGGGATTTCTGATCAATTATTCCTGATCGCAGCCCTAAGTGTTGGGATCAAGTCACAGGAAGGAAACCAGGACGGGGGGTTGAGAACTTAACACTTTTTCCCTCCCAAAGGAATTGATCCGTTTCATCCAGGAACGACCTCTGATCTCCTGAGAGGCAGTGAATTGCAAAACTGTCCAAACAAACCCTCTCGACCATAAACCCACACAATCAGAACCGCAACACTGCTGAGGAAGCCAAAAAATGAAACTCGTCTGCGTCTTGGATGTGAAACTGTGCTGCCAACTCGCTGGTTTCCCGTGGTCGTAATGGGTTCAAGAAGCTTAAATGTGCAGGGGAAACGAAGAAGGTTGATTAAAATTTCACGGAATAATGGAAAAGGGTGGAGGAAGGAGAGACTAATTACGTCTGGACACGTCTGCTCCATTGGCTTACAGTTGGGATAAGCAATGGAAAGTCGTACTGGTCAGAGGTTAAAACGAACAAGCTTTTTTCTTCAAACACTGAGTGGTTGTTTTCATCTGTTCATCTTTTTTTTCCCCAGTGAACTGTTTCAGGTTGACTTTTAAGGAAGTTGTTTCTGAAAACTATGTGAACCTGCAGCCTGATCATCTGCAGCCTGATCATCTGCCCAGAACTCAAATAAAAGCGTGCATAACGCCAGAAACGCTTAAATATCCATTCAATGTCATGTAATGGACACATAATGAATACCGTTTCAAACTGTCTGGTTTACATCTATCTAAAATTTGAAACAGCGTAATAGTATTGACGAGAACCGACAGGCTTCCTGAGATTTTGAGGTGATCTTTCATCCTGAAAACGATACAATTTAAGCAAATAAAGAATCAAATGGTCCTCTGCTACAGGCTTTTATTTTAAAAAACATGAGAATTTAGAAACAACTAAACTGCCTGATTAAAAGATCATACAAAAAAGGCATTACCCCACATGGAAAGCCATCATCAAATACCAAACACATACAAACAAATAAAGGCATTTAATGCCAGGCTGATCTGGAGCTTTTTATTTTGTTCATTACTGGGAATGTTTTTTTTTATTATTATTTATTTTCTGTTAAAAAAAAAAGAAGAGAAAAAGTAAAATGTTACTGAGTTTTCAAACTGTACTAGCTGCCATTAGATCTTCCGGTAACAGAGTTGGCTGTCTCCACTTCTGGATCGGATTTACTGACACTTCATTTCTTCCCCAGAAAACTCACTGCTGCTGCTGAACTACAATTCACATTTGAAGCAGTGACAACAACCAGCACTCATCTTTGTTCCAGTTTCTCAAAAAAACAAACAAACAAAAAAAAAGATTTTTCAGCTGACTAGTGTTACCAGCAAAATATATATATCAGTCGGTTGTGTTTGTGTAGACCAGTAGAGGGCGCTCTTCACTTCACCGTGCCCAGGTTCTGGTTCTGGATGGAGCACCACGCCTTGAAGACCTCCCTACGAAACAGCAACAACGTGTTGGAATTTTTACATGTTCTTTTTTTTAAATTCTGATGGCTCGAAACAAAACAAAAATTAAAAACAAACAAGACGGCGTCTACACACCTGCAGTGAGTGGCCACGCACTCGTTGCTGCAGTACTCCTGGTCCCAGTCCTCGCTGTCGATGGCCGGGTTTGTGCAGCCCGCTCTCACACACATGCTCTTCACGGAGGCGCCGGCGGACGCGCTCACCTCCATCACGTCCTGGAAACAGGAGCACGGCGTGTGCACACGTGAACGCTGCACTGCAGCAGGAGATCACGTGTTTGCTGACACGTGTGTGGTAAGAGTTTCACGTTATCGTTACATTTGTTTGGATTAGGGATCCACATAATTAACCGACTTTACTCATTAATCGATAACTTGCGTCTCTACTTTCTTTTCTATTTTTTTTACAGATGTAGATCTGAAAGGTGTGGCATGCATTTGTATTCCACTGCTTTTCATCCCAATCTGGTAAACATCGAACAAACCTTTCGGTCAACATGGTGGACACGGCGACCCGACGTTAGAAATACAAAGGCTGCATAGAAGCTGGACAGAGTCAGAGGTTTACCTCGTCTGAATCCAGAATCTCAGTGACGTCGTCGTCTGTGGCTGCAGCAGAACTCCTGTCTTGCGCCGGCTGCACGGTGGCAGCCGCAGCAGCAGCGCTGGGTGTGACCAACCTGTCCTGAACCGACGCAGGGACTATTTTGATCTGGAGCGGAGGTGGAGGCGTCGCCGCCATGGCGACCGGCTGGCCCAGCGTCGTCGTCGCTCCCTCTCTGGGTTTGGCCTGCAGCGGCGGCGGGGCCGGCGCCATCTGCTGGAGCCGCGGCGGGGGCGGCGCGTTCTGCATCTGCTGCAGAGGCGGCGGCTGGCGGGCGGCGCTGGACACCAGGAGGGTGGGCTGCACGGCGCCGACCCCCCCGGATAACAGCGTCACCACCTGGCCCCCGGCCTGCAGCAAATGCTTGGGGATGATGATCTTGGTGACGGTCTGGGTCGGAGGCAGGACGACTGGGTTTGCGCCCGTCTGGGGAGGAACGTCCAGGATGATGTTGGCCTCCATGCTGGTGCTGGCTGAGGGCAGGAGAAGGGTCTGCTGGCCCGCAGGAGGGGGGCTTCCCAGGGTCAGGTCCACCACAGGGGGGCAGGTCTCTGTCTCCATAGCGGCTGGCTGCAGGGAGGGAATCCAGGTCATAGGAATATCAGTGGGAGACGGAGACACTGAGTGGTTGTTCCTTCGCAGGACGTTACCTGAGACAGCTGGCTGGCTTTGTACGCTGCCAGCGCCTTCAGGTACTCCTTCTTGGCTGCATCCGTTTTCTTTTTGTAAACCTGCAGAAAACAACAAACCATCGTTGTGGACTAGAGCTGAGCCAGAAATCCATCTAATCGATTAATCAATTAGGAGATTTAATTTCTAGAAAATCTGTTTTTTTTCCTCATTTCTTTTCTCCTGGGTTTCAAAAGGTCAGAGATGTCTGCGCAACTCAGGCAGCCATCTTGTTTTACAGCCTCTGTTTAATTGGACTTTGAGTTCAGGTCCACAACGTAATGGAATATTAAAGCCATTTTTTTTTTTACATACAATTATGAGAATAAAGTTGTAATATCACCACAATAAAGTCTGAATATTATAAGAACTCCAACATAAAAGATAAAATATGTTTTACAGATAATATTTAGTCTTAACATTCAACATCAGTAGCAGGACTTGGAAACAATCATGTGAACAACTTTGTGCTTTTCAAAGAAAGAACTGCAGGACCTGACTGGTCTCATCAGATGCTGAAAAATAAGTTTTACTCTCCATAAAAACAACCATATTGCAGTTTTAAGATGCTTTTTCTGGTAAAATTGAGTCACTTTTTTCTTTTGCAAATATGACTATATTCTCGTAGCCTCATTCTAATTCTCCGTCATTCAACCCAGGAGCAATAACTGACATAAAGGTCACTTTTCTTTAAGAAACCAGGCAAAGGAAAAAAAAGTGACTCCATTTCAGATCAAATGATATCTGACTTTATTTCTAAGCCACATTGGCCTACTCCTGTTTCTAGACGTTAATCCTCCAGATCTCAATAGAAGGCAAACGGCGCACCTGCTTCTGATCGTCCGCCAGGCTGTCCCACATGGACGCCACGATCTTTGACACCTCCCCAAAGGAGGCGTTGGGGTTCTGGCCCTTAATGGCCGACTGGGTGTCTCTGAAAAACAGAGCGTACGCCGAGACGGGCTTCTGCGGCTCGTTGGGATCCTTCTTCCTCCTTCCTTTCTTTCCTCCCGCCGCCGTTTCGGCTGCCGAGGCCAGGGCGGCGGGTTTCCCTCCGACCCGCCTGGCCGCTGCCGCCGGGGAGGCAGAGGACGGGGATGGGGGGTAGGGGGACATGTGGGACAGGACCGGGGAGGAGGAGATGGACACGGGGGAGTCCACCAGCACGCTTCTCTGTAGGAAGAGAGAAGGTGGGTCAAAAATCAATGAAGCAGACAGTTGCAAATAAAAACATTAATAGAAATTATTAATGATTTGTGTGACAAATCCAAACAAAGTAGGACTTGAGGACGAAAAGAAAATTTTTAACTTTTTGTTGGCCAAATTAATGGATCTAATGATTTGCGACATGTTTGTAAATTTACAAAACATTGTGTGTGTGTGTGTGTGTGTATATATATATATATATGAAAAGAAAAAGTTTTTTTTATGTTCTTGGAATTAAATTTTGGAATTATGAAAACACAGACTTATGAGAGTGTAGTTCATTATGAGTTTTCAAGATACTGATTGATGGTTACAGGGGTAAAAAACCTTAACATGCATCTGTTTTGGATTTTCTTCCCTTTTATGTTTCTGTTAAGTGATTTTACATACAGGAAGTGATATGCTTAGGGTTCATATAATGATTTATGGAGTTTGTAGTTTAATTTATTAATGACAGGTGTAAATATAAGCCTTCTGCTTCTATTTGTACCTTTTCAGTCAAGTTGTTGAAATTGTCTGTGCTTTGAAGTAGGAATAGCAAAATATTTGGTTAACAGAATAATAATAAAAAAAAAAAAAAAAACAAGAAATCAAAAAGAAGATAATTTGAAGTTTGATTTTAACGTGACAATGTTTACAATCCACCGCATATAATTCTCGTTACCTTGAAGTCGTCCATGTCCTCGTCCTGCAGGGAACCGACTGGAGACGAGGATATTAGCAGCGGCTCCTCTGGCGCGTCCGGATGATGACCCAGGTTACTTCCCCCGAGCCCCAGCGTCAGATCTGACGGGTTTATGCCGGTCAGCTCGCTGCCCTCCAGGAGACCGTGACCTAACTCGCTCAGCTGGACATCGATGGTCATGGGAGGAGAGCGGCTGAAATGTGAGCCGCTGGAGTTCCCCATCTCCTGAAGAGAGAAAAATAAAAAATGAAAAATCAAGGTTTCAAACAGCATTCAGATTTGACTGATTGATTGACTGACGGATCCCAGAACTCACCAGGGCAGAGGAGCTGAGCAGGGCTGCCCCTCCGGCTTGACCCATCGGCCCGAGGCTCAGCCTCTCCAGAGCTGGAGTCCCAAAGGTGGAGGCGAACGACGGGTCATTGGCCTCCACTACCAGGTTGCTCACCAGGCTCCTGGAGCCAGAAGAACCGCTGGTGTCGTCTGAGCCGTCGGTCAGGTCGAAGTGGGAGACCGCCTCGCTGATGCTGAGAGCCTGGTCTGGATCCAGGGATATCGGGGGGATCTCGAACACCTCATCCCCGAGACTAGGAGTGTGAAATGTCTGCTGCATCTGGAAAACACACACACACACACACACACACACACACACACACACACACACACACACAGAGAGAGAGAGAGAGAGAGAGAGAGATGGGTTAAAAACACAACTACAAATAATTAGATGGTTCATCAATGATGTTACTCACTAACCTCTGCTGATAGGAAGTGATGCCCAGCTCCACTAATGGTCAGATAGCTGTCGCTGCCTTCAGAAAACTGCAACAGATAAATAAGTCCAATGTAACTAAGCACAGTTTACGGCCAGGCATCCTCTGACGTAACGTTACCTTGTTCTCCTCGGAGTATCCGCCGTACGGCTGCGTGTCCATGAACTCCGCGTCAACATTTGCAGGACAGTCATCCGACAACTCAGAGTAAAATTTGAGATCCATTTGGACTTGTTTCTCTTCTTTTTCAGAAGCTATTCCTCTGTTCAAACTGGGGCTAACATCTGCATCAACAGCCGCTAGCAGCTAGCTAGCTAGCTAAGAGCAAACAGACGGTTAGCATGCCGCGACAGCCCAACACATATTAAAATAACCCAAATGAGATCATATTTGTGTGATTTATAGTGAACGAAAGCTACATAAAGTCCGCCTTGATCGTCAAATTTAACGTTTTGGTCTTTTTACAGCCTAAAGTTGACAAGCGACTCTAAACAAGCATGTTCGTCAATGTAATATTGTTAGCGCCCTCTAGGGGATGGAAGAAGAAGAAGCTGGTGCTGCGTTAGTGGACTTTCGTAAAAATAAAATGCGGTTCATTCGGAGCCATAATTTATCAGCGAAGAAACGGGGAGATTTAAAGGTTCCTTTTCGCCTTTTAATAAAATAAAATTAAATGAAACATGTTTTAAAAGTTCCTGGCCAGTGAAAATGTAAAGTCTATTTTTGGTTTTCACAACTGTTGACTGTATGATGCGTTTATGTGTGTGTGTGTGTGTGTGTGTGTTTTTTAAATGTTTTCTCGCTGTAAATGAAGCACTTAGGTGTTGCTGAAATGTGCTGTGCAGATAAACTTGATTCAGTGATTGATTGAAAAAAGAAAGTTAACGAGAAAGACTATGCTTTTTGAAACTTTGTTGGGTCTTTGCTTACCCGCCTTTAAATTGTCGTCTGTGAATTACTCAGGCACACAGAGTAAAATACAATAAGCTGAAAACAGGAACATGGACATAATGAATAAAATAAAAAGCAGTTTAGAAAGATCAACTTTTCTAGTATTAGAATTTCAAGAAATCATAACTGGTCAAATGCTTAAAAAAATCTCATCTTTTTGCAGCTTTGTCTTTTAGTTACATCTCAAAAGCGTTATTATTCATTGGGGCCTGCCACAGAAATGTATGGCAGGCACCTATTGTTCTTCACCTGAAAATAACTGACTACCACCGTCAATGCAGCCCGTACCACTGCGTCCACCTCACAATATATATATTAAAATGTGCGGCTCTATCCCATGAGGGGAGCTATTACTTTTGTTGGCATTTCGAGTAACTGTGGCGACATAATCAACAAAAAATGAGCCAAATTCAAGTCTAAACAAAAGACTGACACAAAACAGAGTCAGTTTCACTCAAAATAGAATTTTCTCCCTCTGAGCTGCTCTTTAGAACTACAGTGATGACAAAATGTCAGAATTACAAACATTATGTAACAGCTGCTATAAATGATTGCAAAGCTTTGTTTGTTGTTGCTTTTGACCAATAAGATACACAGAATTTCCGGTTGTGAGATGATAAAATGTATCATTATCTCAGGTTAGGGCTCTGCAGAGCCTTTTATCTTAAATAAGGTGTTGGCTATTTCTCTCACTTGTTAGCCGTGTTTAGCATATGGAATGGAGTCAATTACACACAACATGCTGGTGGTGATCCACATGCTACTGACAGTATTCACGCTAAAATTAACATATTTGTAAAATTAGCATAAAATTACTAACATGGTTCAAGTCCATGTTACTCACATTCTTTTTTGCATTGATGCTAATTTTTAGCATAAGAACAATGGGTCCAAACTGACGGTCACACTTTGGCAGGATCTGGTTAAATTTCTTCAGGAATTTCCTAGTTTTTTCCTTCATATGGTCATATAATCCGTTTAAGCAATTCTGTGAAAGCTGCCTGACTGTTGTTCCTGCTGCGTAAATAATATTTGCATCCACAAAAACCTTTTGTGATGAATTAGATTTGGTACCAGGTTGTCGTCCAACATTAGTGTCTGACCTCAAAAGCCCTTCTGGAAGAATGGTAAAAAAAAATACACATAAAACACACTCCTAACCTTGAGGCAACCAGCAAGGATTGGGTTAATTAATGGAGTAAGAACTGGATGTCTGAAGGGAAATGAACCAGTGGTTTTGGAAAATTAGTTTCCCTCTTTTCATCCTTCCTGTGCTGTGCTGTATATTTTGAAATATTGTAGTTTAGTGTGATGAGAGTTTAACCTTCAAATAAAATTTCTACTAATTAATTCATTTGCTTACTTGGCGACTTGGTCTTATATTATACACCTTCCTAAAATAATAGTTTAACTTTGTTTTTAACTTTGTGAATGTTTTATGTTTAGGTTTCGACTTTCACTTGCGATTGAGAAGTTCTACAAAAAATAAAGACGAGCAGAGCTGGATAAAAACATAAAAAAACTAGATGCAAGTAGTTTTGGCATATTAACTTTCCACATTAAGATAATCAAATAAATAATCATCTGGTTTGAATAGAGTTGTTCCAATGTGTTGACATTATTGCAAGCAGTTGAAGTTCTCCTTTCTGCTCAGGCCGTGTCAAAAAGACGAAACACAGGAGGGTTTTCTTTCGCTGTAGATTGCTGTTATTCATATCACAGATACAGTCAGATCATAAAACAAGAATAATACCTCACAGCCGTCATCTTTGCACCATAGTACACAACTGACGAGCTCTACATTATACAATACACCCATCCTCCTCGCACTGCCTCAGTAACTAATAACGCCATTTTCCCCTCTCCCTCCCTCCCCACAGAGTGAAAACACTAACAGTATATCCACACACTGGAAAACCCCCAATCCAGCCCCCAATTCGTTCACAGGCTCCTCTGAAAAGGAGTTCTGCTCAGTAAATGTATCCAGTTTCATGTAGCGTTCAAGGACCAGCTTTGAGGGGGGTTTTGTTTCTTTTTTAAAGATATGAAAACTGTGTCTATACAGCGAGGGTCCCCATTTGGTCACGTTTGGGAATGTGATGGGAATTCATGGGATCGGATGGGAGGAAATAAAGACGACGAGAGAGACGTCAGGAGGAAGATCGAGAGGAGCCTGGTGCAACATGACCGCGATAGGAAAAAAAGAAACTGATGGATGCACACTTTGCTCCTTACACAGAACTAATCCTAAATAAAACAAAAGAATAAAGGTAGCAAAAAAAAAAAAAAAAGAACAAAAACAATTAATTTGTTACATGTTGGTAAAAAAAAAAAAAAAAAAAAAAAAGATCTCGGAATAGCATGATTTCATTTTGAATGGTGGAGGCGCGGGACACGAGTCACTTCAGTCAGTCGTCTGAGCTTGATGAAGAGTCAGAGTCCTTCTGCGCCATGATGACGTCACCCAGCAGCGCCTCTTGATCCGAGCTGTCGTAGTCGCCTTGGGAGAGGCTGTCGCCGCCCTCCATTTTGACGTCAAAGTCCGGGCTGGTGAGGAAGTGGTGGGACGTCTCCAGGTCCTCCTCGTCCATCATGTAGGCTCCGTCCGAAACCAGAGTCTCTTCTTCTACGCCGTCCAGGGTGGGGTCTTCGGGCGTGGGCTCGGGAGTGTGGTAATGGTGGTGGTGGTGGTGGTGGTGACGCCGCCGGTGGCTTTTCTTCGGGATGTCGGAGTGCTCCGTCAGCAGGCGGTGGTAGAGGGACTCAGGCAGCAAACCCTGCAGGAGGAAGAATAAAAATTAAAACATCTGGCTAAGTTACAAAAAGACGCTATCAAAAAAAAACCCCAACCAACAGCTAAAGGTAATTCTTTACAGCATGAAGAATACAATATTTAGCGTACCGATTTTTGAACTGTCTCAGACCACTCGGGTGCAACGGCGATATTAGGATTCTCTTCCAGATACTCCTTCAGATCCTGCAGCATCGGACAGAAAGCAGCTCCAACCTGCAGAGAAGTGTTGGAATGTCAGCTGGTTCAGCTCCGACACGTCCAGGCCTTTCCTACAGCTCCAGAGGAAGTGTCATTTTCACATGGAAATCACTGAAGTTCATCAGATGTTTATGACAGATGTTTCTATGATGAACAGCAGTTACATCTAGAGCCGTGGAGTTAATCAAGAACAAATAAATGGAAATAATCACACAAGAAAGGAATGATGGAAAGAAAGAAAAGAAGATAGAAAGACAAAACAGACAGGAAGACAAAAAAAGAATGCCATAAAGACAGATAAAAGGGAAGAGAAATACAAGAACAAAAAAATAACGAGACAAAAAGACAGGAATAAGAAAAGAGACAAAAGAAAGTAGGAGGGTAAAAAGGAAACGTAAATGACACAATGGAAGAGAAAAAGAAAGATGGGGAAAAAAAGACAGACAAAAACAAAAAAATGGAAAGTCAAAGGAAGAGAAAGAAATAAGACAAAACAGAAAGAAAAGGAAAGATAAAAGAAAGACAGAACGAAACAAAGAGATGCAAAGAAAAATGACAGAATGAAGGAAGAAGGGGTCAAAGCACAAAAAGGAAACAAAGGGAAGAAGAAAACGGCGTCACCTTCTTTCCGGTCAGCATGTTGATGACCTTGACCTTTTCAGTGCCTGTAAGGGGTTTATTCGCTCGCCTCCTCCTCTTCCTCTTACTCCTGTTCACCAGCAGCTGGTTCACAAAACACAAAACTGAATTATCGCCCTGGAAGTGTTGAAATACACGCCTGAAGCCCGGGTTACCACACAGAACAAAACATTTTGGATTCTTGACGTTAAACTGCCAGGACTTTACCTCCAACATGTCTCCTTCCACCTCATAATCTGGATTCTCTTTCAACCACGTGGGGGGGTCCCTTCGTCGAGGAGCACGCCCCAGTGGGTCATGGAGGACGTCTAACTCTGATAGCTGAAAGAGATGTTTCAGGTTGGTCAGGCTGCTGTTTGCTCTGAGGACGTTCAGTTAAGATGTGAATCTAAGTTGGAGCGTTTTCACAGCTCATAGTGCGGTAGACTTCACTGTTGCCAAATTTGTTACATTTTTGGCTGCTGCGGTTCACTTTCACACTGCACTGAGCCAAACAAGCCAAACTCTGAAAAACCTGTTCACCTCCTCGCCTGGGGTGGCGCTGCACCAAGAAACACTGAGGGAAACAACATGAAAATCTCAGAAGAAGACATGAGCGCAACCTGCTTCTTTACGAAATGTTAAATAAATAAATAATAAAGCATTGGTTGTAAGGCTTCTCATTTGTCTTTGTTAGAAGACGAGAGATTTCATCTGCCAGCGTTAGACGCATATTTGTTTTGGTTGTATTTACCCAGAATGCCCTATGCTATCATAAACTTCCTGGTTTTGGAGCGGACTCCGCTCAGTTTGCATTCATACATGCATTCAAACAACACCAGAGTTCACTTCCCTAATACTGAGACCTCGGCTTTTAGGTGGACCAGAATTTGTTTTCTTGGTACGCATCAGAGTTCGATTCACACCTCTACAAACGGACCGGACTTTCTAAAAAAAATCGGACTGGATTTTGATTAAATTGGACTAACCAAAGCTGGTATGAATGCACCTTAAAAGCTTGTAACACCGTACTGCTAAATAAAAACAACCCAGATCAACAGAACACGAGAGTAAAGCATGACATCATACCTCTTGGTCTTTGCGTTTCTTGCGCCCGCTACTCTCTCCCCCTGACCCGTTGGGCAGTAGAGCCTGCTTGGAGAACGTCAGCTTCAGACCCTCCTCCTGAAAGGACGACAGAGAGGCGTCAAAGTTAAAAGACATGAAATCGCTTCCGCCATAAGGAAAGCAGCGTATCGCCAACACCAGGCTCGCCTTCTCGTATGACGTCACCTTGAGGAGTTTACGGTGAACTCGCCGTCCTCTCCCTCCGCCCGATGCCGGTCGGTGCGCTGCTGGGTTTCCGGATGACCCGGGTGTACGCCATGTCCTCGCCCACCAGTTCAGAGCTCGGGTGGAGCTGGGCTTCGGGGATGTAGCGCCGCCCTGAGGGCCACTGACCCGACACCACCAGGTGACACAAGTTGTCTAGGCGGTTGATCAGCACGCGGTCCTGAAATGGGAACCAGAATGTACGGCTTTTGTCTGAAGAAGCTATTAGTAGATTTTTGGTCTGCTGCAAACAAATATTATTTTTTTAGGTACCTTAGGCCAATCGACTCTGATTGGCTCAGGTGGAAGTATGCTGTCTTGAGATGGAGTCATGGAGAGTAGACTGTTTTCTTCATCCACGTCTCCTACCTTCATGCCGCCTAAAAGTGAGAACAGTT